AACTCTTCATCATGTCAATGAACTTTTTGAATTGGTTCTCGCCATTTGGCACTACCGGTTCCGGTATGTCAATAATGTGCTCCCTAGACGGGTTCACTTCTTCTGGAATCTCCTCCACATTGTCTTCACTATCAATTCTCACCTCATCGTTTGCTTGCACTTTATTGCTTGGCATCTCGTCTTCTTGTACCAATTGTTCATCTTTCACAATTTTCTTTTGACTTGAGGTGGTTGCATCCCCACCTTTTCCACTCCTTGTAGTCACGTCCATGGCATGTCCCATGTTGTTCCCACACTTCGGGTTCACCACCGTATTACTTGGTAGTGCCCCATCAGGATGAGTGTTCAAAGCTTGTGAGATTTGGCTCAATTGAACTTCCAAATTGTGAATAGAAGTGTTGTGAGAGGCTAATTGAGCATCCGAGTCGACATTCTTCTCCATTATTTGTTTAAACGTGTTCTCAATTTGTCCCATCTCATTGTTGGAAGAGCTCGCACCTTGAGAAGGATAAGGAGGTGGGTTGCTCGGTTGTTGAAACATTGGGGGCCATTGAAAACCCGACCCTGGTTGTTGTTGTTGTTCCACCCTCCTTGGTTGTTAACTCCCCAATAGCCTTGATTATTTCCACTCTAATTTCCTTGGTTATTTTGACCATTCCAATTTTCTTGATTTCTTTGATTGTTCCAATTCCCTTGGTTGTTTTGATTGTTCCAATTACCTTGATTGCTTGACTTCCAATTTCCTTGTGGTCGCCATTGTTGTTGATTCGGGCCTTGATTGTTGTTTCTTTGTCCTTGGAAGTTGTTCACATGTTGAACCTCCTCTTCCTGTTCATTATATTGTTCATCTTGATCAAACCCACTATCATCTTGCACATAATTTTCAACCTGGTTTTGCTCTTGAGGACCCTTTTTCCTTCTCTTATTTACCATAATGCTAAGTCCCTCTATTTTATTGTTTTGCTTGGGATCTTGCACTTGTTGAAGTTGAGCTTTGGCTAGTTGATTCATTGTGGTGGTCAACTCGGCAATTGCTTGCCCATGATCATGTAATTCTTTATGCAAGTGAATCACATTTGGATCGCCTTGAAGAACGTTTGTTCTACTTTCCCATGCCGATGAAGTATACGCCATTTTATCAAGAATCTCACAAGCTTCCGCATACTGCATTGTCATGAAATTTCCACCGGCAAGTTGGTTGACCACGCATAGTTTAGTAGTATTGATGCCCCTAAAGAAAGTTTATTGAATCATAGCCGCCGTCATGTCATTGTTCGGACACTCTTTCACCATAGTGCGGTACTTTTCCCATATCTCATGCGAAGGCTCATTGGGTTCTTGTTTGAAAGCTAGAATCTCATCCCTAAGAGTTGCCATACGCCTGGAGAAAAAAACTTGGAAATAAATTTCTCGGCCAATTCTCCCATGTATGGATAGAATGATTTGGCAACCTCTCTAACTAATCCAAAGCCTTCCCCCATAGAGAGAAAGGGAATAGCCTCAATCTTAAAGCATCCTCGGAGACGTTTGTCTGTTTACTCCCGCAGCAAGTGTCCACAAACCCTTTCAAGTGCTTAAACGCATTTTGATTCGGAGCCCCGATGAAGAATCCCCATTGTTCCAACAGCTTAAGCATAACATTTGTGATTTGAAAATTTCCCGCCTAAATGCGGGGCGGGACAATGGCACTTGCGTTTCCTTCTTTCGGCAACACCCGGTGTACCACCGCTCTTGGAGGAGGTGGGGTGGAATGGGAACATTGTCTTGAGGCGGTCGGCCTAGTCTATTTGCTTAAGGTTCAAGAGGAACATCATCAACTTGGTCATCATCCCCGTCATCCCCCAATGGCACGTTTCCAAGAGGATCACTATTGTTGAGAGCCATTGTATCACCTACAATTGTTTCACAAAAAGATTAGTAACTCGGAAGGCAAGAAAGACAAATCACACACAAAACCAAATATATAGCTAAATCCGTTTTTAGCTCCCCGGCAACAGTGTCAAAAATTGATGTCGGCCAAGTTCACACCTCAAATTAGGATTGTGAAGAGGTCGATGCAATTATAATTACCCAAATAGGAGTCGGGATCGATTTCACAGGGAGCGTAGATGGGATTAGTGGTATATATTTTGATTATGCGCGTAAGGTGTCTAAGTTGCACTTCCACAAACTTTATTTTGATTCTACTTCTAAATTATGCTACGGTTTGCAAATATAAAATATGAAACTAGAGAATAATGTTTTTGTGGTTGTTTTTCAAATATGTGAAATGTCTAGGGCTGTGAATTCCACCTAGGTGGTTTCCTAACGGGTTGTGGGCTTTAGAGCGAGTTTCGTTGGTCGGGCCATAATATAGCAATCAACATGTAATTACCCACTCAATACCTCTCGGTAATAGAGTAGTTTTACCCAATTCGGCTTTCTCAAGTCCAAATGGGTAATTCACATGACAGTTGATAGATACTCAAGTCGGGTTTTACTATCCCTAGATTTAACCCTTTACTTGGGACTATCAATTTCTTGAGTTCACCCCAATTTCTTGTTAGCCAAGTTTTCCTAGACTCAATCTCTCTTTCTTAAGTAGAGACTAAGTCAAATAGGCTTGAATCAATATTTTCAACCATTAATTCTACAATTAAAGCAAGAACTTAGCTAAATATTACACACCCAATCATAAACAACCCTAAATCAAACACCCATTAGGTATCCATACTAGGGTTGGTCACAACCCTAGCTAGAAATTTAGCTACTCATAGATAAAAATGAAGAAATTAAAGAAGAAATAATAATTAAACTTATATTGCAAGATTAAAAGACAATAATCTAATATTTAATCACTAAAGTAAGCTAAAGTTACTAAAACCAGTAAAGAAAAACGGCTAAAAACTTTCTGAATTTCAAACTTGGCCTAAATTTGAAAAAAAGAACTATTTATACCCAGCTGAAATTATCGAACATAATTGCCCCTGCAGAGGTTCTACGGCTGCACAATTCTGTGTGCAGTCCGCACTTTGAAGCTGGCTTGACAGGATGGACTTCATGCGGCCACACAATTCTGTGTTGTGGCTGCACTTCTTCAAATTCCGCGGACCGCACATTCTTGAGTGCGACCGCACTCTAGAACTTGAGCTTGACATGAGAGACTTCTGCGGACCGCATGTTTCTAAGGGAGGCCGCACTTTTGTTTTCTGCGGCCGCACAATAATAGTTCGGTCCGCACTTCTTCATGAACCAGACTCCCATCTCTCTAAACCTCATCTTCTGTGGCCGCACAATAATTGTGCGGTCCGCACTTTGCAAAGAAAATCGGCTGAGGTTCTTCATGGTCTGCAGCCGCACTCAATATTGTGCGGTCCGCATTTTGATCTTTTTGAATTATTTTAGTCCTTGTCAAAATTTACTCTTTCTTGAGTTGATTTTCATATATTTGAATCATATTCCAACACTCCTGCAAGTAAGCACATTTCATCAATTTTCGGGAATACCTTTAAGCAATTTTGAGCTAAAACGAAAGTAAAAGAGTGCAAATAAGTAGTCAAAATTCCTGCTTATCACGAACTACATTTGGCTAGTTTTGATTGGTTTGGAGGATAATTATTAGGAAAAAGCCATGGTTGAGCATTTATTTGGTTGCGGGAAGAGGTAAGTATCGTGGTTAACCTTGACCTGAGGGAATTAGGACTTGATTGGATTATTTGCTATTTGATTTATGTATGGGGATGGCGTATATGCAAGGTAACGAGTGTATATACGTAGTCAGATATTAAGTATGCGGGTTAAGATATTTATTTATTATTTACAATTATTTCATGCCTTCATTTAACCCATATTATTACTTTTTAAATGCTAATTGTGTGTTAATAGATAGCTACTTTTATCTGCTTTATATCTTTTATTATGTAATTATTTTATTGCGTGTCATTTGAATTACGCCGTAGTTGGTTGTGGATGTTCATTTATATTGTTATTGTGTGGGATCGGGTTGCACACGCCACAATGGTTATTGGTATTATTTTATGGGATCGGGTTGCATGCCGTAACAGATATTGGTATTACTGTGTGGGATCATGTTGCATGCCACAACGGTGTGTATATATATATATATATATATATATATATATATATATATATATATATATATATATATATATATGTGTGTGTGTGTGTGTGTGTGTGTGTGTGTGTGTGTGTGTGTGTGTGTGTGGATGGGGTTGCGCGCCGCAACAAAGAAGATTTGTTGTTTATATATAATTATGGATCGGGTTGCGCGTCGCAACAGAGAAGACATATCTTTTTGTGTTTAATTGTTGTTACTGTATCTGTGTTGAATTGATAAGCTTAGCATAAGTGTTAATCTAGGGCCTTCTATTATGTGTTTTCAATTCTGGTTTCATATTAAATTCTTTCCTTTCTCTATTCCTGATATTATTTTGTTTATATTTGCACATGTTTATAGTGAGTGCCTTGTTATAGTCTCGTCACTACTTCGTCGAGGTTAGGCTCGGCGCTTACAGAGTACATGGGGTCGGTTGTGCTCATGCTACACTTTTGCACTTCTTGTGCAGATTCTGGTGTTGGTCCCAGCAGCGGTTAGTTGAGGCTTGCTCGGATTAGCTTTTCACCGAGACTTGAGGTATAGCTGCACAGCGATTGAAACTCCTAAAGTCCCCTTCCTTATTTGGTAATACTATTTATTTTATTTCAAACAGTTGTATTTTCATTCAGACATTTGGTAGTAGCACTTCTGGTATGCTCATGTACTTGTGGTACCAGATTTTTGAATTTAATTAGTCAGCATTTGGAGTTGTTATATCTATTTTTTAATTTCTACAACTTTATTTCTTATTAAACTACTTCCGAATTATTTTTAAAATGATTAATTATGTACTAATATTGGTTTGCCCAGCAAGTGGATGTTAGGCTCCATCACGGCCTCGCGGTAGGAATTTTGGATCGTGACAAGTTGGCATCACAGAAAGAATCTGGTGTTGCATTGACAGTCATTTACTAAGGAAGGCAATATGTTGTCCCTTTTGCACGAGTACAACTCCAATTCCTACATTGCAAGCATCTATATCTACTAAGAATGTTAGGGAGAAATCAGGTAGCACTAGTACTGTTGCAGTAGTTAGATCCACCTTTAATTTGTTGAAGGCTTCACTAGTTTTTTTAGTCCAACAAAACCCATCCTTCTTGAGTAGGCCAGTGAGGGGCTTGTTGATGATCCCATATCCTTTTATAAACTTTCTGTAATAACTTTCTAGCCCATGAAACCTCCTCAACTGAGTAACATTCTTAGGTTCAGGACACAGCTTAACTGTTTTAATCTTCCTAGGGTCAGTTGATACCCTGTGTGTTGAAATGTAATGGCCTAGGTATTCCATTTTTTTAGCTGCAAATACACGTTTACTTCTTTTTTCTAACAATTGATGCTTGAACAGTAGCTCAAATGCCACCTTGAGGTGTTCTAAATGTTCCTCTAAACTAAAATTGTAGATTAGGATGTTATCAAAGAACACTAGAATGAACGTCCTAACCCGATTATGAAAGATGCGGTTCATCAATCCTTGAAATCTTGATGGTTAATTGGTCAACCCAAATAGCATGACTAGGTACTCATAGTGTCCAGAGTGTGTTTTAAACGCCGTCTTAGGTATATCAACTACTGACATTCTTATTTGATTGTATCCAGCCCTTAAAGTTTTAGAACCTCCCAATTCATCCAACAACTCTTCAATAATAGGAATAGAAAACTTGTCTTTTATTGTCATCTTTTTCAAGACCTTATAATCCACACAAAGACTCCAAGATCCATCGTTCTTGCCCACTAATACTACAGGTGATGGATATGGGCTTGAGCTGTATTGGATGATCCCCTTGTTCATCATTTTTGTCACCATCTTCTCAATAACATCCTCTTTGGAGTGGTGAGTACCTGTAAATCCTAGAATTTATTGGTGAACTCCCTTCAATAAATGGAATCTGATGATCAAATACCTCCGGAAGGAGGAAGTTGAGTTAGTTTCCAAAAAAACCTTCTCATAGGCATTCAAAACATCTTTTACCACCAGTGGTTCTTCCATGTGCTCAACTCCTTTACTGTCTGCACTTTCATTATCTTCACCTGCTGGTTCTATGACCTTCACCATGAATAGTTGTGATCCCTCTATGGTTGTTTTCTCTAATGACTTAGCTTGGATTGTTTTTAACTTAGGTTGGATCCCCTTTAGGGTGAGTAATTACCCATTGTATTCAAACTCCATCAATAATTCTCTGAAGTTGAACTTAATATCACCCCAAAGGGCATAACCATTGTATGCCTAGTTCCAATCACTTTTTTCTATATAGAACACCAAGAATCATCCTGGAACGTAACCCTTTGCATCAACCAACAAATCCTTTGCACACCTTGTCTGTATAAATTTCCCTACCATCAGCTATTTGCACCAATTGAGGATTAGTCTTACTGATCACACACCCTTAGTCTTTTTGCTACTTCTTCATTAATAAAATTATGTGTTGAACCACAGTCTATGGAGAACTCTAGGGTTTTTTATACCAGTGAAACCTTTTAGTCTCAAGGTCTTGTAGCCCAACGCTCCATTTAGAGCCTGTAAGGAGATAGCACAACTCTCCAAATGATCCATCATCACTTTTTCTTCTCCCAATTCTACTTCTAAAGGGATATCTTCCCTTTCATTCTTCGATCACCTCTAACTCCAGTAAAAATAACTACCTCTTAGCCTTGCACTTATGCCCAACTGCAAACTTTTCATCACAGAAGAAGCGAAATCCTTTGGCCCTGTTATCATCCATTTTAGCTGGAGTTAGTCTCTTTCTCCTATAATTGTCCATCCTGTCAGTGGGAGACCTTTTGAAACTGTTGGTATTTCCTTTGGGAGTGAATTTAGAGTTATACCCCATGGTACTTCTATTTTGGGTAGCTCCTAAAGGAGTACCTCTTATAGCTTTACTTTATGCAGCAAAATTTGATTCTTGTAACCTTTCTAAGTAGTAAGCTCGAGGAAGACTTGCGGGGTTCCCTACTCGTACAACATTGCTCAGCTCATGCTTTAAATTATTAAAGAAAACACTGATGGCATGCTCTACAGATAGATTTATCTTGTTCATCACACCATTAAAGGCCTTCTGGTAATACTTCACAGTACCAATGTGTTTGATATTTATAAGCTCTGTCATTGGATCTGAGTATTCAGCCCCAAAACTGTCACATAATGCCTAGGAATACTCCTCCCAATATGGAAGAGGCATTTGACCGCTGCTCCTTATGTATCCAAGGTGCCACTGTAGGGCATCCTCCTCAAAATGTAAAGACACCAATTTCATCTTTTGCTGGATAGTGACATCTTCATCAGCAAGGAACTGATCCATTTTATATAGCCAAGTTGTCAAGTTTTCTCCATTAAACTTTGGGAATTCCACTTTTGTGTTTTTGATATAGGGTATGTTTGGTAATAATACTTAGTGATTTTGGTGGTTGGTTGTGTAGATTTGGTGGAATTGGTGGTAAGGTTTGGGTAATAAGGAAAATGGGTCTGCATATAAGGTGCCTGGTGATATAGAGGTGGGGAAATATGAGTGTTATAGGTAGGAGGATATTGGTGGTTCGGGTTGTAGGAATAAGGGTACGGTGTGTTCTGGTGAAAATAACTGTGAGGAATCTACAGTTCGTGGTAGGAACGTTGTTTATATTGATAGCTAGGCTGGTATAAAATACTTCAATCTATGTGATTAGGGAAGAGCTGTGTTCTATTGATCAAATTTATAGGAAGGTGATGAGCATTATTCGGCGGGTTCATGTTATGATTGGATGAGATGGGGTTACTTTGTGGAAAATTCAAATTAAATTTCAACGTATTATATATGAAGAGGTATTAGCTAAATTACCTCGAAGATTCATAGCACTCTATGTAGATAGTGCCGACTGATTTTGCATTGGTGCTTGACAGTACTAGATCTGAGAGCTTGAAGGGTTAATAGCATAAGCATGTGAATTTGGAATATTGTGTGTTACAGGTGAAACACTTGTCAATGGAACAATACCCCTTGCGCTAAACTCAGTATTCGAGTTGTTCGACTGCATATTGACTGAAGTGTATGGGTTGAGTGTGCTGTAAGCGATTCCCACGGGGGAAACCAGATCTCCAAACATAAAAGGAGTATTTGAGGATGAACTAGACAAAGGATATTTTCCCCTTTATGGTCTTCTTTCTCCATGTACAGCTTCCTGCAGCTCGCATAGAGTCCTAAGCCCTTAGAACTTGTTCATGCCGAGTTTCAATTTTCTCTTTTCTCTGGCTGAAGTGAGTAACATCAGTAGCTAATTTGTGAAGAATATTTATTACCTCCGTTGTCTCGGAAGCCATGAAAATGACAGAGCCAAGAAAGAGCTCTGATACCATTAATGCAGTGGCTAGATTTGAAAACCAAAAAGGAGAGAAGAAGCTAATGCTAATATACTAAGCAAGGGTAAAAATAGATAATTCTCATTCATGTCCATTAATAGCTAATTACAAGGGAATATATTCTTCTCTATCATCAATAGAGGACAAAATATCATAACCACTCTAATTTGACCTATCGAGCCAAAGTTGTACTAATTAAGGGACTGATTTGTAAGCGGTGAGAATATATATCAAAACTTATGGAGGACTAATCTGTATACCAAACTAGTATCTCTGGTGAACTAATAATAACGGTCACGTGCTACTCCACAAGCTATAGGTACATCTATCAGAACGGGTCTCTTTTCTTCCTGCATCAATCAAGGAATAATTGGTGGCTGTATTTGAAGAATACCCATGTGATGGGTACTGGAAGCATCGAGACATCCTCAAAAATTAAAATGGATGTATTGATTGAATAACAAGGGAAATAGTTTATAGTGTTTTGAGAACGCAAAGAAGACAACCTTTTTATGCTAGATACACCGAGTCATAAGCAATTCTATAGAGCCAATGAGGGAATATATAAGCGAGGGGCTTCGAATACTAAATAACAGTTTTATTTTTGGTTTCTTCTTTTTTAACCTACAAGACTTTCAATTTAAATATTATTTTTTATCCATTTATTTTGAATTGGCAAAAACTAGAGTATCTAAAACTTTTTCCGATATAGCCGAATAGTAATTTATTTTATTTTATTTTTAAAACCAAACTAGTCACGCGTACAAAATATTAGTTTACAAATTTATAACTAGAATTGTTAATGAAAGTGTTGGAGACTACCTTAGTCATCTGATATTGCTTTTCAAATATATTTTTATGTGTGTAAATAATATTTTTCTGAAAATAGATTTGGAGGTGTGTACTCCTAAATGTAATATCCACCTACAAGTAAAATTGCGATAATAGATCGTCACCACTTACATAAAATTATCCATACGTTCTAAAAGACTAGGTTCGTCTTCAAGTACCTAATGTGGACTTTGGTTCTTTAACTAGTTCAAATGAATGACAATAAATTATCATAACAGTTACAATCACGTGAACAAGCTTAGTACTTATAATAATGTGAAAGGGACCTCATGGTGAAGTAAGATCATGAAAACTCAAAAGTCATGCTTTGAAGCTCAAAGAATAGAAAGAAAAAAAATAAGAAAGAAAGTAAAAATATTTCAAAGTAACATAACAAAAATTGAATGTGAGTTTAGAATTTAGAACCATGTTTGCGATACAAAATGGTACTAGATCAAGTTGTGCAAAGGTGAAAGTGGAGGTTAAAATTCCCTCTAAGAATTAAAATAGTTGAAGAAGAGGATGAAACTAGGCCGGAGGAATCTAAATGGATTAAAATCAAGTATGATTATCTTCCAAAATATTGTAAGACATGTAAGAAACAAGCTCACATGAAGTTGATTGTTGGGTGATTCATCTTGAGTTGCATAATAAGTATGAAGAAGTTGTTGAAGATCAATGTATTGGGAAGGAGATAGTTGATACTGCACCTACATCAACCAAGGTCCTCACAAGTGGAAAAATAGTGGAGAAACCAATTGCAAATCCTGCCAAGCAGGAGTGGATGCAAACAAGAAAAAATAAGTATCAAAGGGATAATAGGGGCCATATAAGTGAAGATGCAAAGAACAAGGAGCTGGAAATATCAACAGGAAGAACAATGATGTAACAGTTAGTACAAAGAACAAGTTTGATGCTCTTGAGGTTGAAGAGATTGAGCAACCAATCTTACAAATTACGGATGTCAAAGGAGATGACACTATTAAATAAAAGGAGAAGCAACAACTGTTAAATGAATCCAACAAGGACAAGGAGAAGAAGCAACATGAGAATGTACCACATTCCAGTCAAAATCCTAAAGGAAAAGGGCGTTCTATTGTAGCGGCTAAAGAAATCAACCCTTACTCTAATCCTAGTGCTATTGGAATTGGGGTGGACACGCAAAAGGAAAGAACTATGGATTGGGTTCAAAGAAGGTTTGGAACTCCTAAAGAGGTACTTAATGTGATAACTAACCATTCTTGTCAAGAAATTCCTTCACACACGGTGGGAGGCTCTTCAAGGGCAGTTGATACCATGGGAACAAAAATTGATGGTAGCTCAAAGGGAATTGGAACAACTGACGCGACAAGCAATAGATGCACATTATGGGGTGAAGAGGTTGAGAAGATGGAGTTAAACAATGCTGCTGATGCTCACAGCAGTGATCAGACAAAGCAGCCTGGCACAGTAGATTCACAAGCTATAGTAAACTCTAGGATGCAGGAAACTAGGGTTAAAGTTCTAGATCAAACCATAGTGCAAAATACAACAAAATCAATTGGAGTAGGTACAAGATCACTAATAGAAGCTAGAATCAATGAGGGTGCAGGTGAAGAAGCTATAGGGAAGGAGAAAGACAATGGAACAATAAACCCTAGCAGCACTGCCAAGGGTTTCTCTATAGCTGCCGCTCATGCGATGGATGGTAATGGTGTAAGACATGTTAACAAGGCTCCTACAATGGTCTTAGATGATACAGTAAGGTCAAACACCAAAACAACTAATGGCAAGCCTAAGGAATCTAATGGAACAATAATTCTAGTGTCTACTATTAGAGTAAACCCTAATCTGGGTTCAATAATTGAATTGCAATTCAAGGTGATGCATGAGACATTAGGAGCAATGGATTAACATAACCAGGGGTTGAAGGAGGTGACTAGGGTGTCACGTGAGCAGGCCATTGTTCCTAAGGCTTCGGGTGCAATTAAGGCACTGCCAATGGCATGTGCCTTACGAACTAGGCAGCCTATGCAGCTTCAAATCAATGTCCCATTGAAGTCACCTAACCAACTACTACATGAAATTATCACTCACAATGTGGCACCTATGGACCTTCAGAATGTAGAGGTAGAACAAGGTAAGATAAAAGAAGAGGGAGAAGATGAATCTATTGCAGGAAATTTCAAGGTAGTTGCTAGAGATGCAGGCTTATCTCCAAGAGTTACTGGCAGAAGTGGTAAGCAGGGCAAGAAGAAAGGTCAATTTAAAGAAGTACCTTAACTTTCAAGAATTATGCCCAAGAGGGCATTCTCAGTTACCAAATGATGATCAAGACCTTGATATGGAACATAAGGTCTGTTAAAACTCAATAGGCCTTTCAAAGAGTGATCAATATGTATAGGGAACATGGATTCTTTGTAGTTGCTTTGATGGAACCTTTTCAGAACTCAAGACATACTCAAATAATACAGAATAAAACTTAATATGGATGCTGCTATGTCTAACATTAGTGGGAATATTTGGCTATTCTTTGATGCTACAGTAGTGTGGTAATTAGTGATGGATACTGAACAACAGGTGAGTATCAAACTGTATCATCAGGATATTGGCCAAAACATCTTGCAAACTTTTGTATATGCTAAATGTTCTTCACTTGAGAGGCTGGAATTGTGGATAATCTGTATT